AGGCCAAGTTCAAGTGAGCAATGAGAAGAGAATCAGCAACAGGAGATGTATTCTCCACATTTTTTGCTGGTCTTCCAGGTAGAACCTGGCCAACAAGTACAGTTTTTTGGATGAGGTAACAGCACTGCCTTAGCTACGTCCTGAGACAGCTGTCCTGACCGATTTCCCTAATATCCGGTCTGGGCAGTCAGTACATCCCCCCACCTACGTACAGCCAAGATCCGTTTCCTTCTCTCTAACTTCACCTCCACCACTGAAACCAAGCACCCCACCCTCCCTCTGCCGGTCTCCCATGTCACCTCGCCGCACTCCTTTCTAATCTCTTGTCCAAACTGGTGTGGGATGATCCAGTCAAGGCACAGCTCGGATCAAACCACGTCCTGCTTTAAACCTGGCACTGGCTTCTGCTGGAAGGTGTCCAGTGCTTTCACTAACCGACCATCCGCACAGCAGGGGATCAGGAGTGTCCCCCACCCCGCTGTGGCAAGTGATATGCTGCAGCCTGTGGCTCTCAGGGGCCTCTCCTCCTGTGTTCTCCCCATGTGCCAGGTCCTCCTGTGCAGGCTCCGCACGCCGTAGCTCTCTCTGGGCCGTGTTTGGTGCCCACTCCTCAGTGGCTGCTCCTGGCTCCACCCTCCTTATTCAGCCCTCTCTCCTGGGTGGCCTTTGCCAGCTGTGCCTTCTCACACCTAAAATTCAGCAATTGTTTGTGTAATTATGTTGTTTTTTCCAGAACTGGGAATTGAACCCAGAGTCACTTTATCACTGAGCCACATCCCCTGTCCTTTTTATTTGTCCAGACAGGGTCTGACTAAGCTGCCCAGGCTGGCCTGGAACTAGAGATCCCCCTGCTTCAGCCTCTTGGGTAACTGAACTTCAGGTGTGTGCCACCATGCGGGGGTGTAATTACTTACTGATGCTCACACTCCTGCCAGACTCTAAGGTCCTTGAGGGCAGGAGCCTAGCTGGCTGCTGCTGTGTCTCTGCGGTGCAACCCCAGTGACACCAGGGAGACGAGGGTCATGGCACTTTGGAAGAAGAATGTGGTGTGGCTAAAGGAGGATATTTCCCAAAAAATGTCTGACAAAATATTCTCAAAACTGATTAATAAATGAGGATTGATCTGGTGGCAAATGACAAAGACCAGAAATACCAATCTCAACCATCTTGACTGTCAGGACAAGGACTGTACAACGCTCTATGTATCTAAACGTTACCTGGAACACTAAGGAGATCACGGAAACACCGGATGGGGAAGGTGCAGAGAGAGGAGCCAAGTCACGCATCACGTCAACTCAGCTTTCTCCCTGGGACCAGCCGAGCAGGCCATGGAAGGGGAGTGGCAGGAGGGCAGTGGGCAGGCGGAGGGAGATCCCATGCTCAGGCTTAGGAGGCGGGACGCCAGCAGGATGGCTGTTCACTGAATGCTGATGCTGGACACGGAGCACTGGCCACAGAACCAAAGGCCTCGGAGGGCATGTGCTGGCTGGACGAGCCCGAGTGCCAAGGGCCATGTAAACGTCCATGTGGGCATGTCATCCTCTCAGAGGGACTCCAAGGCTGCACAGGGCTCAGAGCTATCAGCTGCTACAGCAATGGAGGGTGCGTCTGGCTCCCTCGCAACTGGTATCACCTAGTGCTCCTCAGGGCTAGGCGCGCCCTCAGGGGAGTGCCCACCTCCAGAATGCGGCTCAGGCAGTCAGGTGAAGCCGCACCAGACGACTCCAGAGCACGCTGGAAGGAAGGTGTGGTCACTAACTTATGCATTCGCTTGACAAATACTGGAACAGACAAGAGGGACATGATGAGGGACAGGACCATGCTGCCTCAGCACTGTCGGGTGTTCATGGGGGGGTGCATTCTGAGAAATGTGTCCTTAGAGTCTGGACACAAGACAGAGCATGAACACAAACGAAGACAGCCAGGACATCACTTGCTGATTGATTCTTACAGGGCCACCATTAGGTATGTGGCCCATCACTGAACAACATGTCACTTATGCAGCCTGTGAATATAGTTGCAATAGTGGTGAATACAGGGTCTTGGGCTCAGTGTGTGTGTGTGTGTGTGTGTGTGTGTGTGAGAGAGAGAGAGAGAGAGAGAGAGAGAGAGAGACATGTGTTGGGGTGGGTTAGGCTAGACCTGGGGGATCAGGGCACACTGTGTCAGGGAGCACAGTCGTGTGGAGATGTAAGGCGGGACAGGCGGGCGATGGGAGGAGGGCAGAGCGACTCAAGTTCTGGCCTGACTGCAGAGTGTGGGGAGGAGCTGGGATGGGAGCAGAAACGGGATCGAGACACATTCTTGGTGTAATGGCCAAGACTTGGTGACCGAGTGCCCTGGCATGCATGAACAGCTGAGGGCAGGAGGTGCTGCTCAATAGAAAAGGGTGCTGGAAGGGGATGGCTTCCGTGGGCCACACAGGGTAAGTGCAGGTGCCCGCTGTTGTGCCAGCGGAAAGCTCAGGAGGCAGCTGGACCTACAGGCCAACGTTCAGGAGTGAGAGCTAGATCAGAGGTAAAGCTGCAGTCACTAGGGTGACCCTGTGAACCTGACACTGCGGACTCTGGTGGGAGGAAGGCTTTCGGCCCGCTGACAGGTTCGCTGCTCACCTTGTCGCACCTGCTTGTGACCCAGATGCTGGGCAAGAGCAATAAAGCAAAGCCCTGTTCTCCCTCTGTGGGGTCAACAGAGAAGAAACAAGAAACAATAAGATCTGGGAAAGGAGGCAAGTGGCGGCTGATTGGACAGGTCTCTGCCAATCCCTGGCTGCGTAGGTCTGGAGCTCCGCCCCTTCCTGGGGCAGCTGCCCGCTCTGCCTGGGCTGCTGGAGCCCAGCCACATGGCACATAGCTGAAATACCTGTCAGCTTCCTCCAGTTTCCTGAGATAACATGAGTTGCTGCCTCTTGTAACCTGGAGAGCTTAACACACCCACAGTGCTTCTGGGTTCCATGGGGCTGACAGCCAAAGCACAAGATAGTCAGACACCTTGACCCCACCTAGCGGGTGGCGGTCAGTAAATGCAAGGCTATTGACCAAGCCCTTCCTGTAAGCCTCAGCCACAAATGACTTCATCTGAACAAAAAGCCAACTTCAGAACAGGTAGAGCGCTCTGGACACCCTTCCTGCTCTTTAAGTGCTTTGTCAGATGGGTCAGACCACAGCATCTGTGGGAAGTACCTGGGAGGTGGAGGCAAAAATGACCTATGTGGAATGCAGATATATTTTGATTGACTCTATTATTATAGGAAAACTCCAATCTTATTTAGTTCTACCATCTAATTCTCCAGCCTCAAATGATAATTAGGAAGATCACTGATGTAGGAAAAATGCTTATGGTATGATATTAAATGAAAAGAGCAGAATGTACACCTAGAGCCACATTGTGATCAAAATCCTATGAAGTCCGTATACAGAAACGAGCAAGGCCTGATTGGGCAAAGCACACGGGGTAAGGAAAACTGTCTTTTTGTATTCTATGGGAAATTAAGGCACAAAGTAACTGCAGACAAAGGAATCTAACACGATCATTATGTGGCTGCTCCGTTAGGAAAGTTTATGAGGGAAACCCAGTACAAAGGAGAATAGGTTTTTTAGAAAACAACAGCTTTGGCAAAGACGAATTGAGTCAGCCTCCTTGCACTAAGTCCCCAAGATGACAGACACCGAGTTCTTGGCGGGAGCACAAACTTGAGAGACCCTGCTGCGAGGACAGGAGCTGGTGGGAATGGGATGGAACAGAACCCATGCATGTGGGCAGGAGGAGCCGACAGAACACTCAAAGAAGCAAGTCCGAAAATAGAAAATCGAACTGATCAAAGTCCAGGCTGCAGTTTTCTTGTAAATTCTTGAGTCAGTGTGGAAATGACATTCTGGGATGTCACCTTACACCTAAGAAAACAAAAATGGTGTCCACCCATCTACTGACACCCGAGGAACAGAGCACCCTGGGTACTGAAGAGCCCATCTACAGTGAAGGGGGCACCTTGTAAGCTCTGGTCAGTCTTCAGGAAACCCCTAGTCAAATACAAACTTTGGCAGAAAATCCTAAGGCCAGAATTTACAAGAGTGCAATGGGTTCCTCAGATGACAAAAGATGAGAACAGAGAAAAGCATTCCTGGCTGTCCCCCCAACCTGCTCCACTCTACACACAAGAAAACAGAGATCCAAGCAGGAAAAGGAGTATAATCAAGATCTAATAAGAACATGGTGTGAGACTCGGTCTACTCTCTCCTGTCCAAAATGCTTTCACCTGTCCCTTGTTTGTTGTGGCTTCTATTAACCTAAGCTCAAGGGAAGACAGCAGACATCATGGTAGACATGAAGTGGGACATGTACAGGTGCCGATGGCATTCAGGGAGTTACTGGTAAGAGCAAACATGCAGCTTCCATCAAGGGGAAGGTGGCAGTAACTGGTTTCCTTGTCACACACATGTGGTTCCTAATTTTCTGATTAAAGTGTCTCCAGGAGTGAGGTGGGACCCACATGATCATGTCCACCACCCCCTAAGTAGGTCTAAGTCACCTGGGAGCCGAGAAATCACAAACAGAATTGCAGGCTCAAGGCACTGAAATCTGCCTCACTTTTCTAAAATAAGGACTTGGGAACCTTCACCTCTTAGAATAACTAACAAGTATTATTTATATTTTAACCTTTATCTCCTTTAAGAGAGTTATAGCTAAGGGGACTGTCAGCTTTGACCCTCCAATGGAGACTGGCCAGAGGTCATTGATCCTGGATAATCCAGAGACAGGGGCCACTCCTCAGGTCCCTTAGGCAGCGCCAGCTCACACAGGCAGGTGGCATGTCTGCTGTCTGCTAGGTGCAGCCTTCTGCACCCAGAATTCACAGCTGCATCCAGTGGTCACGCGCAGGGACTCACGTGTGGAAAATCTGGCTCCTAGGACTCCCTGGTTTTCCTGAGGAACTGGCGCTGCCCGAGACCTGCAATTCCCCAGATCCCATGTCCTGTCAGTGGGCTGCAGGGCCAGCTTACCTGGAACGTCGATCAGTCTCTTGTAGACATTCAAGAAGGCCGCCTCAGCCTCTTTGCTTCTTTTACTCAGTGCATCAATCTGAAAGGGAAGGAAGGAAAAGACAAAGAGCTCAAAATTTGTCAAGAGGAAATTTAAAAGTCATTCTGCATCTTGTGAGTCCCCACGGCAGATGGAAGTGAGATTCTCCTTGCAGACACTTTTCCACCAGCCTCAGCCTCTTAGAGCAAGTACCCGCAGCCTCCCGGGAGGAGGCAGTCCCCAGGGGCCAGGACCTGAGGGTAATGGGCAGGGCTGAGGAGGCACTGGGTGGGGCTTCCTACGCGGGCCCTTCAGGTCTCTGTCCTCCGTGTCCAAGCACAGACACAGCTGTGACTGGGGCAGGGCAACAACTGCCCGGGAGCTCAGGGGCTGGAGAGGGAGACAGGCAGGCCAACAAGCTAACTGCCAGGGCAGAGCCGTGGGGACACAGAGAAGGGGACACCAAGGGAAATCGGGGACTTCTGACCAGAGTCCTCAGGAACAAGTCACCAGGGCGGAAAGGTAGAACCATGAGTCAAAGGGCAAGAACACAAACAGGGCACTTCTCAAACTGGGTATTCAGAGATCCTCCTTAAGAATTTTATGTCAGCCAAGGACACCCTCCTAGTGCCCGTGCACATGTGGAGTTATGTGTTCTATCTTAGGACCCTCTCGTGTCCAACTGTGTTCCAGCCACAGGACTGGTTAAGAACCCACAGACAGGGCTGTGATGTGCCACGGAACATGGGGGATCAGCCTGTATTTGATGGGGGAACACAGACACAGCTTAGGCCATGAGCGAGGTTCTGACGGTGGCCAGGGCCAATCCGTCCCTGGAATGGACCCAGATGCACTCATTTTCCCCAGTGCAGGCTTCTATTGGTCAAAGAAAGTGAGGTAGGAAACCCCGAAGTGTATGGGACAGGCACCCAGAGTCCCCAACCCCTGGGTCACCTCGTTTAGTGTTTAGCTCATGTACAATCACTGGGACAGCAGATCACTTTTTACACCTGAAGCATGCAAGACTTTACATGCACAAAGTTCACAATGACTCGGGAAAAGGACACCAAATCACATCCTCCTCCTGTCCCCTTGTAGAACTACGCTCTCTGCCTCAGATGTTGTTAAAGAGGCAGGGCCTGTGGCTTAATTACAGAGCCTTTTTCTGAACCAACCCGCAGTCTGCTAGGGGCGGCGAGGCCACCTGATTAAGGAGGGTGAGCAGCTGAGGGGCAGGAGGTGCCTGCACACGGGGTCTGGGGAAATCTCACAGCAGAGGCGGCAGCAAAAGCCCTGCCAGTGCCCCCCACGCTCTGCCTCGAATGCCAATCCAGATTAGGTGTTTAGAACTCAGACCCCTGTTTTTCTCCCATGAAACAAGATTGTGATTCAGGTGTCTGGTGAGGTGGGGTTCACGTCAGGACTTTTAATACAAGACAGGTCTCTCTGTATTTTGAACAAAAATCTGTCCCCTTTGACTAGTAGCATTCACACTTATGGTATAATTGGAAAAATATTTAAAAATTAGAGAAGGAAATTATACTTATTTCTTTCACGGGTGTGTTTTCAATGTTTTTCTAATAAAAATCAAGTTGCATGAAACTCAAGCACCTAGGAAGACTCTAGAGAGAACGTGGATCAGTGGTTGGCTAGGCTTGGGGGCACGACGAGGGGGGCAGTTGGAAGATGTGGGCTAAGGGGCGTGGGCTCTTTTGGGGTGGTGAACGTGCCCTACAATGGCCCACAGTGATGGTCACCATGTGTGAATCCTCAGAAAGCCAATGAGCTAGACTAAGCGGGTGAATTCCATCTCCATAAAGCTGTTTGAAACGTGTGTGCACTTGAATTCAAACCGTACGCAAACTTCTGTGCAGCGTTTTCTTTCACTGATGCATCGCACATCTTCCTCAGAGCTACTACACACAGCGCAAGTCTCTAGCACCATTGCAACTGCCTGGCCCCACATGCCACATCTGCTGGAGAAGTGGACCTGGAGCCGCCTCTCGGGCACCTGCACTGCCTCCACCTGCCCGGCTGCTCTCACAGCGCCACACAGAGCCTCCTTCACCCGGTCAGGCCAGGCCAGGCCAGGCCCAGTGGGCCCCTTGCTTCCCAGGGACCCCACAGTGGATCCACAGGTGACCGTCCCCTCAGTAGGCAAAGGATGGGATGTGGAGACCTTCTGAACTTCCATCCTGGTTGTTCGTGGGCATGTGGGTGGCACACTGGGGACGATGATGGGCTGAACTGTAACCACATCTCCCAAGACGCTGGAGCCTTAGCCCCCATAGCCATGAAGGCGACCTTATTTACAGACAGACTTCACAGGTGACCAAGCTGAGGTCATTATCATGGCCCTCATCCAGTGTGGCCTTATAAAAAGTGGAAACATGGACACAGAGAGAATGTCACAGGACGAGGAGGCAAGATGGTGATGGCCAAGGACTGCCAAGGACAGCCGGCAACCACCAGAGGCTGGGAGAGGGCCCAGGCTGTCCTCAGGACCCACAGAGGGAACCAGCCTGCCTGCACCCCTGACCTTGCCCTTCAGTCTCCCTCACTGGGACCCTGAGCCCGTGGTACGTAGTTACGACACAGAGGGACCATGCTTCTGAGCCCTCTTCCCTTCCCTTCTTCCACGATGGCAAGCAAGTTCAAAGCCATTCCCGTGAGGACAAGGGCAGGCCAAATGGGCTTCATTAACCAGTGGACTAAGCAGTGCCTTGAGAGATGCTGACAGTTCAATCCACGTGCAGCTGAGTTTCTGCCTGGTGAGACCCTCCCACCCCTCCTGAGCCTCAGAACTGTCTGGAAGCATCTGTCCATTCGGAGAATGCTGACACTCCCTCTGAGGCTTCATTCTCCTGGTTCCTCCCAGGGCCACTGCCCTGGGCCACAGATAGGCCCAAGTCTGGGCTCAGGTCTGCCTCCCTCCCAGTTCAGCTTTCCCGTGGGGATTTTCACAGACCCCTCGCTGTGGCCCATCATTTCCCATGTCAGCCTCTTGCCTGCTTGGCATCTCTGTGCACAGAGGACTCACCTGTGCTTTGAGACCCAGTGTAACCTCCACTTTCCCCTGCTGACACTGCCAGCGTCCCTCTGGCTGGCGGTGACCCCAGTGTGGGGGGAGGGTGTGCCCAGACACTGGAGCCCAGATGGCTGTGCATTCCAGCTGCCAGCGCTGGGCTGTCAAAGAAGCTAACACAGGGGGAGTGCCTAGTGCCAGCCACAGGATGAGCCATGGGACACCAGCTTTGCCCCATGGGAGAGTGTTTCTTCCTCCAGGTGTCCACGCAGTTCCAACCCAGGGAGCGGGGACTCTTGCCTGTGACCCTTATCATTCAGAGAGGGAGGCGGAAAAGAGACGGTGGAACTCATCTTCCTGCCCTGCAGCCACTGCCTGCCTGCACAGTGCTCAGGGCCAGGGCTGCGATCCTGGGAGGCAGGAGTCATCCAGGGCAACTGGATACTCAAGGGGAGAGAGGGTGACCAGAGAGACCAGGGCTAAGGTATGAAGACGTGGACCGCAGAGTCAGGACCCTAAGTCGACATGCGGCTTCCTCACGTGCATGCCCGAGGGAGGGTTCTTACGCTACTGTGCCCACCCCCATAACTATCTGGAATAGGTGGCGAGGACAGAGGTGCCGCTGCTATGCAGAACTCGGGCAGATCCAGGCCACTCAGGCACTGGCCTTGGCAGAACCTGTCCTGCTTCAAGAGGGCCCGCCTGCTCCACACTCCAGCCACACCCGGTCACTCCCTGTTCCCTGAATACCCGAGTAATTTTCACTCAGCCTGGAAGGCGCCTCCTTGGAATGTCCCCTGATCTGCAGGGTCAGTGCAGATCCACCTCCCAGCGCAGGCTGCTCCTGCGACCATCCCGTCCCCTGAGTGCCAGGACCACAGAGAAGGCTCCTCCCCCAGGAGATCCAAAATTCCTTGAAAGCCCAAACCAGACTACATTCCCAATGGCCTACCCTCCCAGGGGCTGCGCACAGTAGGGGTCTGACACATTTCTATCCTGTGAATGAAAATCACTTCCACAGGCCAGAAGTGAACAAATGGGTTTAAATCTTCATGAAAATGCTCCAGATGTAAAGAGCCCTCTGTGCTGAGCACTTGCTTCCTGTGTGGTGGCCTGATGGCCTGCAGGAAGCACCTTCCCTACCCACCGCCCCCCCCCCCCCCCCCCCACCGGCCGCCCCACAGTGAGTCGAAGGGTCTCAGGCCAGCAAGTGCCTAGCAGCTCGTACTGCACAATTCTTGGACAATGTCACTTTCACAGTGTTGAGTGTGGCTTTTTATGTAATTTAAATACAAGTGTCTACATGGAGGTATTCTGTTCAAATCTCATACAACCCATGTTTGCTGACGGTACTCTAAACTACCCGGAGTCCAGGTTGGCAAAGCTCTGAGCTTTAAAGGGGTAGGACAGTGCCTGAGTGTCTTGGTGGCAGCAGAGCTGAACTGTGGGGTTTCAGGAGTCACGCGGAATAGGTGTCGCTGCTCCCTGTCACGGCCCACCTGCCCTGTGAGGGGCTTTACACATCTCTGTCCACGTGGGAGCTTCTGTGCCCTGCTAAGGTCAGGTGTGGTCACGTGAGATGCTCTGGCCGATGGCAAGAATGCCTACACCAGGCCTGAGCATGGATTCAAGAGCCATTCCCCTGGTTCCGCCTTGGTGCTCATCTCCATTGCTGTGAGACCAGGAGTGGCTTCTTCCGCTGGGACTTGTGACGGTAGACAACGCAGGTCCCAGGCAGAATGACATCATCCTGCAGCCAATGTGACCAGACACAGTCTTTTATTGCCACTGGCTTTGGAGATGTGGGGTTGTTTGTTACTGCAGCAGATTCTAGTGAAGGCTGCACTGCAGGTCCCCATCTGCCACGGGCCATCTCTCGAGACGGCGGCATGAAGTGAAAACAAGGGACAGAAACCGAGACCTCGAGGCCCAGGACTTTGGCTTATTGTTTACTCTGCAGCTTGCCTGCTTACTCCTGTGGGGCAGGGAGCGGGAAGGTGGTATCCTAAGGCAGAAAGGGCACGGGCTTGGGACG